GATCCTTTCCTAACAGGGGGTTGAGGGGGGATACTAGAATAACTAGGTGATAACATCATAGTCAGGAAATTTCTCTGGCTCCCTGGGCTCAGGGACAACCCTGCCATTAGAGGAAGGGCCTATCGTAACCAGATAATTAGACAACAGGGAGCAAAAAGTGAAATAGCCGAAGCATATTTTTGTCCTCAAAGTTCACTTCAACTATGTAGATCCATAAATGTACCCATCTAGTTATACATCCTGCAAACAAAGTTCAAGAGTTACTTTAGCTGGAATCTTCGTCTCTCTGTCCATAGACATTTTTTTCTCCAGAGATTATCTCAGAAATTAGTGCTTAATAATTTATTGTGGAAATAGGAACATGTGCATCTGGGACCTTTTAACATTAAATAAAGATATTGCTGTTTAGCTCACTTGAGCTGAAAGCCCATATGAGCTTTTGAGCTTTCCTTAGATCACATTTTGTCTGGTATATGTCTGTCTGTTCATCTGTGACAGTCTGTTCATCTGTAAACTTTTCACATTTGACCTTTTCTGGAACTACTGGGCCATTTTTAACCAAACCTGCCACAAAGAAGGGGATTCAGATTTGTTCAAATCATGAAATGAAGGGCCACTCCCTCTTTCAAAAGGAGATAATTAAGAATTAGTAAAAATTTGGTTGCCTCTATTTAAAATCTTCTTCTCAAGAAAAACTTGTCCAAAAAATTTGAAACTTATGTGAAACCTTCATTACATAGTGTAGATCCAAGTTTGTTCAAATCATGACCCCCAGGAGTAGGGTGGGGCCACATGTGGGATCAGAATTAAATAGTTTTACATATACAATTTTTTTTTGTTCAAATCTTGACCTCTGGGCAAAGGGTGGGGCCACAGTGGGGGATCAAAGTTTTACAAATTAAAGAAGAAATAGGAAAAAAAATCTTCTTTTCAAGAACAACAGAGCCATGATAAGTCATATTGATATGGATGCATCCTCATGTAGAGTAGATTCAGTTTTATTATACCCCCCGCAAATGATGTTTAGAGGGGGTATATTGGAATCACCATATCTGTCTGTCTGTCCGTCTGTCTGTGGAGTGTAGACGAGATTTTGTCTGGACCTGTTCTCGCAGACTATTGCATGGATATATGTCTGAAAATTTGTACACTTATTATTCACCATATGAAAGTATGTACCTAGTATTTTCATCATGATTGGATAATTTTTGCATTTTACAGGTGTTTTTTCATTTTTATTACTTGATTTTTCTGAAAATTGGTACACTCATAATTCACCATATGAAGGTTTGCACCTGCTATTTTCATTATTATTGGGTAATTTTCTGCATTTTAAAGGTTTTTTTTTTTTTTTTTTTTTTTTCCATTTTTATTGATTTGGTCATTTTGGGTTCATATAGGTTTGAGACATAGAATCTGGAACTGCAAGTTGGAACATCGGTACAAAATGTGAATTGCAGCTTAAATCTACTCATTACAACTAAATATAAAATCAACAAGTACTAAAAAGAGTTTTTGATAGATAGTCCCTACAAATCCAAGAGTCATGCAGTAATCTTATTAAGAAATGTTGCATCAAGAATACACAGCTCTTTTTTTTCATTATATAAAGATTTGTAACAAATTAAAAGAAAAAACTCTTTGTTTTCAATAGAATGACATAGATATGCCTTTTCTATTGTACACAGTGCATTACAAAGCAGTTAGCATAAATTCATTTGTCCCTTGGGAGTAATGAGTGGACATGCATCAAGTTAAAATTAATTAATGAGTTCAGTGTGGGAAAATGTTAGGGCATCTCTGATCAAGCAGGTGTTACATGTATCTATATCTCCTTGGAATTTGGAAGAAGAATTAAAGACCTCTGTTCTCTAACTCTCTTAATTGTAATTTATAGTCTGTCAAAATACATATTTACTGGATGAACAACCTTTTATTTTTCAAATGACTTTGATGTAAAGTTATCAAGATTAATTTGGATTTGTATTATTAAATATGATATTTTAAATTTTTTTTCAACAGTCAATTTGCAGAGTTCATGTCTCACAAAGATGACAGTTGCAATGTTTTTTTCGATGTAATAAAATCAATGTAATTATTAGTATTGATTTTTTATTAGGCTGCACTTTAGTTTCATTCATAAAAAAATATAATGAGCAATTATATTTTCACTTTAGTCGCCTGCGTGGGGCAGTGGTTAGAGTGTCTGCTCTAGAGTCGCGAAGTAAGGAGTTGATCCTTATGTCGCGGGTTTGAATCCCACTGTGGGACGTGGAGACCGTTCCTTTGGATGAGATCATATAAACCGAGGTCCCATGTCGCAGTAGGTGCTGGCATGAAAAAGATCCCTCACTGCTCACTGGCCGTAAGTGCCGAGTATAGGACAAAATTTGCAGCTCTCCACCAGCAAGTGGTGGCATCTCCATATGAGTGAAAAATTCTCGAGAGGGATGTTAAACAATATACAAACAAACAATATATTTTCACTTTAAATGGTTGTGGCCATAATGGCGGATCCTAAGGTAGTCTAAAGTGAAAATATAATTGCTCATTATAATTTTTAATGAATGAAACTAAAGTGCAGCCTATAACAGAATATGTGTTCAAGTCATATGCAAACCTTTGTCTCAATCATAACCATCTAATGTTTCTCCAGTTCAAAGTTGTTGTTAGAACAATAATTTAATACTTTTCTACCCTGTGACCTTTGCCTCAACTAAATTACATTTATACTGGCTCAAGATATACCTCTGGTCACAATCTACTTTTGTATTAAGTAGGTCTATGTGCACCTAAAGCTCTGAGGTTCAATGTCCAAACAATAGATAACTTCTGCTTTTGGCATTAAAATTATTTAGGCACAATGAAACCCCTGGGGCCATAATTTGAACAAACTTAATTCTACACTTAGACTGTAGAATTAAGTTTGTTCAAATTATGGCCCCAGGGGTAAAGTGGAGGCACATTTTTAAAAATCTTCTTTTCAAGAATAATTGACAATTATAGGAATATGTAGGAGAAAAAAAATCTGCTGCTGAAGAACAGCAGGGCCATATTAACTAGGGTGAGCGTTGTGGTCCATGGACCCCTCGTTTGAGGTTTCATTGTGCACATATTCTGTTCTTAAAGTTGCCTGGACACAGATCTGAAGTTATTTCATATATAAGGATATCTCAAAATTTCTATATGACATCATGACTTATATGTTATGTAAACATTAACCATATCAGAGCTCGTGCCCTGTTTACAAAAAACAGGTTACGTTTCTCTGGGTGTGTTCAATTTGTTAAACTCTGCACATATCGCTGAGCACGGACTGACAATACTGGTGAGTTGGTTTTGCTTTCTCACATTTATACTCTAAATTTTCTGGATTATAGTTATAATATTTTTCAGTAATACACAACAAAATTTCTACTTTTCTTAAGTATTAAGGATAAAGTTTACTTTGTAAAAGTGCAAGGATTTGTCAACCGAACGTGTCCCGAATTTAATTAATAGTTATCAATCAATCACTGATATATATATATATATATATATATATATATATATATATATATATATATATATATATATATATATATATATAATTAATAATTATCAATTGATCACTGAAAATTAAAAAATTAAAGTGTAAAATAAATGCACAGAAAAGTAAAGGAAATGTACAGTTTGCAATAAAAATGTATACTTTTTCTATACATTGATTTTATTTTGGACTCTTTCTTGTGGAAATATTTTAAAATGCTAAATGTATTTTTTGCGGCCGATTTGATTCTTTGCATCAATTTAACTTGTTTATTAAGAAGTCATGTTTACAGTAATTCAGTGCATCTAGGAGTGACCCCGATTCAATTTAGGTACAAGTATACAAGATTTGTCCAATAAAACATAATTTCAAGTCATTGTTGTTTACCTCAGGTTACATTAATTCCCGTGTAATCTTCATTAAAGTCAGATAATGTATTTTTCCTTGAAAAATGATTTTTTTTTAACAACAGATACTCAGTTGTATCTGCCTGAATTCTTATTTACATGCTTTTGTTATCTACAAGTAAATGTTGTATACCCAGTATTGAAAACATAAAAAAGTACAACTGAACTCTGTTAAGACTAGATATCAATGTTAAAAAATAAGAATTTCCACTGCGAGTTTGTCAATCGTAATTGTCAGAAAGCGTTCTGCTTTAGTGAGTTTTATGTTTCATAAGTCGTGTAGACGCTAGTGTGGCGCCGTTGTTAGAGAGTATATTCTAGAGTCGCGGAGTAAGGAGCTGATCCTTGCGTCGCGGGTTCGAATCCACTGCAGAACGTGGAGACAGGTCCTTGGGATGAGACCGTATAAACCGAGGTCACGTGTCGCAGTAGGTGTTGGCACGAAAAAGATCCCTAACTGCTCAATGACCGTAAGTGCCAATGTATACATTTGCAGCCCTCCACTGGCAAGTGGTGATGTCTGCATATGAGTGAAAACTTCTCGAGAGGGACGTTAAACAACTAACAAATATAAGCCGTATAAATAATAAACATTGGCCTAGGCATCATTCCCTTAAAAGATTAATGTAGAATAAATTGATTCCAAAATGTGTTATTGTAAAGTTGAAATGTACCAATAAGAAAGAAACGGTTTTACACATGAGTTTCCAGCAAAATTAAGCTTACAAAAAAAATAAAGGATTAGAAAATGACAAAGACAAAAACATATGATATAAAATTGTGATTTTATATCGAAATTACAAAAACCCTCTTAAGTCCATTACACTCGATATTTATAATGCAAAAGGCTTACGCTGACTTTGCATTTGGAAGCAAAGCACCCTTAGTAAATTTTACTAAAAATGACTCTCAATCGTTTTAGTTTTTATTTAAGATATGCAATTGGTAAATTCCCATAATCTCTTCAGTGAAATTTTCTATATGCAAGATTCTGAGTTAAATGAATTGTTCAAACATTTTAGATAAAGAGTGTTCTCAAAACATGATGTTCCTATTGTCTAGTTTTATGGTTTTATGAACACATGAACTCTTTGAATTCCACGTCCTCTGTAGTGTTGTTTCCAGTTGGTGGCGAGATACGGGTATCTTATTTTCCCATAATATCGATCAGCATTGTATCTTATGTAATCTTTTTCATTATCATACATTACTCCAATTGTGAGCGATCCACCTGTTTTAGTCACACACCATGCCCTCGCGATTGCAATGATATCTCCCCATGGATTAATTCCATCGCCATATCTACCTAGACCAGAGTGTTCAACAGAGCTAAATGTTACCACAGCGTCAAATGCACCAAGTGACTTGTTAAGAAAAGCCCTCCTAAATTCTCTAGGAATGTAAGTTTTAATTTGCGGATGCAGGGATTTAATTTCTCCATATTCAAGAGTAACAACTTCCTTCGCGCCGGCTTCCAATACGCATGCCTCAACCCATGGACTCTCAGACCCTATCACCAAGACACGCCCACCTTTGACGCCAGGAGCATGCTGTATTCCATCTCTTAACGCGTTAGTTTCAGATCTGCCATAATTTCCACCTAAAACTCCTCTCCTTGCTAGAGAGACCTGTTGTTCCACATTTTCTTTTGTCCATATTGGTGTTCTACTTTTTGCATTGAGATATTGACTATTAAAGTAATAATCTGAAACTGGCAGTCGAAAATTCATTGTAAAATCCTTAAGAAGTCTTTCTGGAATCTGTTTTGGAGCCACTTTCAAACCATGTCCTTTATCAATTTATTCATTTTTAAAAATCGTTTCACAATTTACTGGTGCTCTAATATGGTCGAAATACGGACCTGGTGTACCGGGTCGCGAAGTATTGCAGAGCTGCCCACAGTCACTTCGTATTACTTCTATTTCTGCATACGGGATACCATCAGCACCTTTAGGAAGAGAAATTGTTTTTATGTCGTTCCTGCAAGTTTCTTTTAGAGGAACAGGATCTGAGACGGAAGGGATTTTTATGTGGTGCTTCCAATGTCTTCGTGGCACAAAAAACATGAAACTGGCTACCAGAAGAATAATTGCCACCAAGCTGCATTTATATCGTGAGCCATGTATTATTGTTGCATCTCTGAAATAAAAGGGAAACTACTTGTAACATTTCATTTTCACGGCATTATATACTAGATGGTTTGGTGTATATAGTGTATGCATGCATGTTATAGGTAAATGCTCTCGGTACTAAAATGTAACAGACTATGCAAAATGAAAATTAAATGTTTTATTCTACACGTAGCTTATTTTACCCATATTTTTTCATAGATCAGCTTTTGGGTTTTTCCACGAGTTTCCTTATAGAAAATATGTAGTTAGTTTCAAAATTATTAAAGAAAACGCGTGTCGTTTGTTGGATATGTCGGGGCATCAACGAGAATAATGTATAAATTATTCAACGTTTCCTACTGTCGTTGATGCCCTGGAATACACACTGATTCCTTAAATAGTTACCTTTATGTGGGAAATAGAAATTTAAAATAAATAATGATGCTGTCTAATAGATTTGAAATATACGAGGCATTCCTTGTAAATTTCTATAGCCCACTCCCACTGACGTCAGGCAAAAAGGGAGCCGGAGAGATTGACATGCATGTTAGGCACTTGACCTTTCACATTCAGTTGAAGATATCGAGAAATCAACATACTTAACTTTCAAAGATTTATGGCAGAGGAAACAATTGGAAATGTAAATATTTTGAATATTAAAAATTTGTACTTAGTGACTAGCCGATATTGGGCATGGTGCAAAAACAAGAAAAAATAAATATAAATAATTGATAAAAAAAAAAAACCCGTTGGTGCCATACCTTGCAGAATAAAAAAGTATATGTCCAATCTTAATTTTGTATGAAAAAGTCAAATCAATATCCATACATATAAAGCATAATCTTTTCCCTTAATAATCGTCAGACATATATGGAGAGGTAGGGTTAAAGACTAACACTTGTAGGTACAGACTTCATTCAAGTGAAGAAATGGTATTTTTTCAGAACTAAATTTTTGGGGAATTTTAAATGTGATTTGGGTTCAACATGCAACATGAAAATGTATAAAAATTGGGTTATTTTAATTCATTTTAAAGTTGCAAAAATTGAGGGATACATGTACATCTGAAGTTTTGGTACAAAAATCTAATCGTTTGAAATCTAAGTTAAGTAAATGTCTTTGTGATGATCAGAGATAACTCGAATTAGAAATTTGGAACTCTCTAGTAGAGAGAAGATTACATTGTTACAATGTAATAACAACGCAAAATGTAATAAACTGGGATTATTACATTTTGCGTCGAGATCAACGCAGAATGTAATAACGCAAAATATAATAACACGATTTTTTGGATTATTACATCTTTCGTTATTACATTTTGCGTTGGCATAAAATAAATACAGGAAATACTGTGCCTATCAAAGAACCATTGCGCAGAATGCCTGTCCATATGCGTGAGGGAGTAGACAAACATATAGATGAGATGCTAGAAAAAGGTATTATTGAGCCGTCA